CTACGGCGCGCCTCCACCGTCTCACTCCATGGCCGGCGATCCATCCCGGCCAGGATTTCCTCCCAGGTCCAGGACCCCTGCCCGTCCAAGATCTGCTCCCACGTCCAGGCTGCCTGCTCCTGGACACGCTGCTTGGTCTTGGTATGGTGGGTTTTTCTGTCACGATCGTCTATAAAGGGAGCAGACCAATACGCAGCGCGTTGAGTGAACATGATGACTTTAATAAAGAAAGCACGTAACTACAAAACAAAAGACGATAGTGAAGTCCAACAGTGACAAAATACTGAACCTGGAACAAAAACCCACCATGCCCACAGGAAAACACACAGTATAAATATGGCTCCCAATCAGAGATAACGAGCCGACAGCTGACACTCGTTACCTCCGATTGGGAGTCATTGACTAAACATAGAAAACACCAACCTAGACACTCAACATAGAACATAAACATATAGACTGCACACACCCTGGCTCAACATAATGAGTCCCAGAACCAGGGTGTGACAGTAAGAAAGCTGCCAGACAGGTTTTTCGCTCTCACACTCCATAAAGATTTGTTCATATTTCATAGAAATGTATTTACACTCCATAGAAAAATGTGTTTTTGGTTTATTGTTAAAGATACTCAATAAGAGAAATTGTTATTTGTCATAATCCTATTCTTTTTGTTTTCGAGACTTAATTAGTCTCGAAGGGGGGAAATATGTGGTGTCTAAGGAATTTATGACTTTGCTAACGTTTGCAAATGGTATCTTGGAGGATGTTGATTCAGCATCTGGGGAGCAGTTTTATAGGGGCAATCTAGAACAGAGGAAGTCTGTTGTGTGGAGTCATGGGATTGGTCTCTAGGGGAAACCACCCATATCATGGTAAAGATTATAAATACTTGGTGGGGACAAAGGAGGACAGAACAACATATTATTTTGGGTCGTTGTTCTCCAGATGCCTGCAGATGTCTGTAAACTTACGCTGAAATCTTGTGATATAAATAAACCTTTATAATCAAAGTACAGTGTAAGCGGACTCCTTGTTCTCACAGCAAAATTAGCGTCATTATTTAGATACCACAGTGCTTTTATCGAAAGCTGAGGGGCTATCTAGTGCATCCTATCTTTTTTCATCTATTGACATCCCCAAATCCACTTGCTGTACCTTAGATAGGCTATTGTACAACTTCGTATGGAAAAACAAGCCACATAAGATAAAAATAGATGTTATCACCAACAGGGTTTGTGATGGCGGTCTAAATGTCTTAGACTTCACTCTCTTTAATCACATATCAAAAGTCAACTTTCCTCATAGTTTCTGGAATATTATACCTCATTTTATTTTCAGAAGCTGGTAGGGCTTAATTTTTTACTACAATGTCCCTATATTGTGGGTAAACTTCCTGTGAAATTGGCAGCTTTTCACAAGCTTTAGTGGTCCTCTTAGTCACGGTAGTATAATTGGTCGACACACATCCAAAATTTGCACGCTCATAAGCGTTGCTTGTATTATGTATGTAAAACACTTTTCACCTCATAACTTTATATGGAATAATGGGTCGATATTACATAGAAACAAGATGTTATTTTACTGTAACTGGTTCTCGAAAATTATTGTCCTTTTCAGCCTACCACAATTTAGAACGATGGATTCTATTTCGCTTCCTTGTTTGAAGTAGAACCTCGCGCGTCCAAGCTTACGCAGATCCTTCCTGTTCAGCTAGCTCGTCTACGTCACCCCAAAAAGGGAAGCTAGTTTCTTGTTTGTATAGTATATGGTGTTGAGAGGAAGCCCAGTGGCCGGCAGTGAGAGAAGATGGAACGAGGTGGATTTTGGTCGACATTCTGCTAATTTTCTCAATACAGTATTCAGTTCCCAAAACTAAGATTAGTAGAATCAACCCTTTGCCAATATTTTTATAAATTGCGTTGTTTAGGAGTGCAAAGGCAAATTGAGTTATTGCACACGCACCGGTCACAAAGTAGGCGTTCCCTAACGGAAATATGCAAATGTTTGCTTGAACGCACCAAAAGGATCTCGGTAACTCGTGCTAGTTCTGCCCACTATGACTAATTTGTTCCCGTTTGAAACGACGGGCTGTGGTCTATCTTGGTTTAGTTATATCTCTGGTATTATTCTGTAACTAAATCCGAGCCACTCCATGTACAGTGAGGGACAAAAGTATTTGATCCCCTGCTGATTTAGTACGTTTGCCCACTGACAAAGAAATTATCAGTCTATAATTTTAATGGTAGGTTTATTTGAACAGTGAGAGACAGAATAACAACAAAAAGATCCAGAAAAACACATGTCAAAAATGTTAAATTGATTAGCATTTTAATTACATTTACATTTTAGTCATTTAGCAGACTCTTATCCAGAGCGACTTACAGTTAGTGAATGCATACATTTTTTTATTTTTTTCATACTGGCCCCCCGTGGGAAACGAACCCACATCCCTGCCGGCCAAACCCTCCACTACCTTGGACGACGCTGGACCAATTGTGCGCCGCTCATGGGTCTTCCGGTCGCGGCCGGGTGCGACAGAGCCTGGACTCGAACCAGGATCTCTAGTGGCACAGCTATCAGACGATGCAGTGCCTTAGACCACTGCGCCACTCGGGAGACGCAAAATGAGGGAAATAAGTATTTGACCCCCTCTCAATCAGAAAGATTGGGAGTGCTCCTAATCTAGGCTTGTTACCTGTATAGAATACACCTGTCCACAGAAGCAATCAATCAATCAGATTCCAAACTCTCCACCATGGCCAAGACCAAAGAGCTCTCCAAGGATGTCAGGGACAATATTGTAGACCTACACAAGGCTGGAATGGGCTACAAGACCATCGCCAAGCAGCTTGGTGAGAAGGTATGAAAAATGTATGCACTCACTAACTGTAAATCGCTCTGGATAAGAGCGTCTGCTAAATGACTAAGATCTCAAGGCAGCCTGGACCATAGTCACCAAGAAAACAATTGGTAACACACTACGCCGTGAAGGACTGAAATCCTGCAGCGCCCGCAAGGTCCCCCTGCTCAAGAAAGCACATATACAGGCCCGTCTGTAGTTTGCCAATGAACATCTGAATGATTCAGAGGAGAACTGGGTGAAAGTGTTGTGGTCAGATGAGACCAAAACAGAGCTCTTTGGCATCAACTCAACTCGCCGTGTTTGGAGGAGGAGGAATGCTGTCTATGACCCCAAGAACACCATCCCCACCGTCAAACATGGAGGTGGAAACATTATGCTTTGGGGGTGTTTTCTCTGCTAAGGGGACAGGACAACTTCACTGCATCAAAGGGACGATGGACGGGGCCATGTACCGTCAAATCTTGGATGAGAACCTCCTTCCCTCAGCCAGGGCATTGAAAATGGGTCGTGGATGGGTATTCCAGCATGACAATGACCCAAAACACACGGACAAGGCAACAAAGGAGTGGCTCAAGAAGAAGCACATTAAGGTCCTGGAGTGGCCTAGCCAGTCTCCAGACCTTAATCCCATAGAAAATCTGTGGAGGGAGCTGAAGGTTCGAGTTGCCAAACGTCAGCCTCGAAACCTTAATGACTTGGAGAAGATCTGCAAAGAGGAGTGGAACAAAATCCTTCCTGAGATGTGTGCAAACCTGGTAGCAAACTACAAGAAACATCTGACCTCTGTGATTGCCAACAAGGGTTTTGCCACCAAGTACTAAGTCATGTTTTGCAGAGGGGTCAAATACTTATTTCCCTCATTAAAATGCAAATCAATTTATAACATTTTTGACATGCGTTTTTCTGGTTTTTTGTTGTTGTTATTCTGTCTCTCACTGTTCAAATAAACGTACCATTAAAATTATAGACTGATCATGTCTTTGTCAGTGGGCAAATGTACAAAATCAGCAGGGGATCAAATACGGATGACACCTCACTTTTTTCCCTCACTGTAGTATGAAAACTTGGCCACGCCTGGCTACCTTTCTCCTATTCAATGGGTGGATTCGATTATGCTGAGCCGCGGGGTACCGGTCTAAGGCCCGTGACGTGACCCGGGCAAAAGCGGTGAGGGAGGAGGGCCCTTTGGTTCCAAAACTATGGAGGTAAAATGGTGACTTCAGTGTACAAAACCAATGCAATAAACTTTCCCCCATTTCAAAAACTTCTACCCGGGCGTGATTAATAGAATCCCCTCACTCTAATCAGTATGCACTGTTGAGATTGATTGCTCTGAGGTACAATACACATCCTGTTAAAATCTAACCCAAACACAACTATGATTTATAAGGTCAGAGCCACAGTATGTAATTTGTTTCACTTGTTGTATCAAACTATAGATCCTGTCCTCTCATTGTAGGCAGAGATTACTCTGGATTGTCATTTAACTACTATACACATGCATAATTCGTTCTAAGCATTTGTATGGGTGAAATCAAGGATTAGGATAATGTGCGTCCTAAAATGTGTATATTGTACGACCGCTATTCCATTGGTAGCCTAATGTAATGTAATCGAACATGACATATAATACTAAAGCATTCAAATGTAATATATAATACTTAACGGGTCAAGGCATACTGGTGCAATTAAGACATTATCCAGAGCTGCAGCTGGATACTATAGTTTCATCACTGTGAATGTGCTAGCTAATGACAGCTCCTGCAACATTCTCCCAGGATGCAATGAGGGGCGAGGTGTTTTGGGTGCACTTGTTTTCAAGTCGGAGTACACCGGGCCACAAACAGGTGGAGGTCATACCCATCGAACTTTGCCTATGATAGGCTATGTGTCTTGTGCACGTGCCTGCTCCTACAGTCGGTTATGTGGACAGTTTTGGCAAACTCTGTTTTGACCAAGTGTAACCCTCTATGTTATCCTTCCTCAGTCCAAACAATATGACTTGTGTATTTTACTGGCATACAACAGTTTTCCGTAGGCAGTAACCCCCACCAGTCCAATGAGCCCAACAATTTCTTAAAAAACTAACAAAGACCGGCATTTCCATCAAAGTTATCTTTATTGCTTGAAGATATAACAGTTAATCATCTACTGATCTGGTCAAGTTTGTTTTTATCATATGTGTAGTGTTGGTTTTCCCTCCTCGAAGACCAGCCAGGTACACCTGAGGTTTGGGGACGTTACTCTTGCCATCCCTCTTGCTCTGACACGCAACATCTTTGGGGAGGTAGGTTTGGGTGACGTTATCCCTCCTCATGTGACTTAGATTAGTCTGCATTGAGTGGGTCACTTTACCACGAAGATTGGCCTGAAAAAACAACAATGCCCATTGCCAAAGGCAGGACATAAAAGTTTACCTTCTTCAATAAAAAAAGATCCATGCAAGACCATGGTAAACCTACCACTGATAAAATAACAGTACACTCAATATAGAGTCAATTAAATCACTAACCAATTTGATTGCTTTTCTCCTCAGCTCCCACTCATTCCACTCGTATGACTTCACAATGTTGGTCTCCAACAAATGAGTGTCTGTCTGAGTGCTGCTGTCACACTTCGTAATGGGTTTTACCAACAATCTCTCCCCTGACCGCATCTGCAGAGACAGAATTTAAGTGAACTGTTGGTAAAAATATCACTGCAAGTTCTGAAGATGCTACGTAAGAATTATGATTTTGTTAGTGAACATACCTCAGAATATGGAGTGACACAGGCAAACTGTTGGTGGAGTTGGAGGAGCTGGATAAGCTCAGGGGACCGCTTTGCTTTCTCTGCCACATGGGCAATGTACTCATCTGGCTTGGATCCAAATCTTAAAGCTGCCTCCTTGGAGCTGAAAACATAGTATTTCTCCCTATGTTTCAGGACTCCTATGCTTGGGTTGCCTGAAAAAAAGGTCAATATTTTACATGCAGCATTGGGATGTTTAGTTAGAAGAAAAAAAGTTGGCATATTACATCATTTCTTGTGAATATTTTCAAAAATAAGGGGGGGAATTAACATTAGTTGTACAACAATGTAACAATGTATACAATTGCCACCTCCAAAACTCCACATACCTGGCAGTAAAAGCCCATCCTTCTTCACAAGTGTATAACCACAAATTCCATTGTACTGCAGTGGTAATTTGTCAAAGTTGGCTGTTGTCTCAGGCAAGAGCCACTCTTGTGTTTTGATCTCATAGGGGTCAATACGGTTTTCTGACAAAGGGAAAAACAAACAAAACAATTGATCTACTTCAAATTAAACATGTAAAATCAATAGCTAATGATAGAGATGTAATAAATGCAGTGCTTTACTGTGATTGACTGTGGAGGTGTAAAACACAGGACTTGTCCCAAATAGCACCCTATTCCCTATGTAGTGCCCTACTTTTGACCAGGCCCCATGGGAAATAGTGTACCATTTGGAACGCACACAGAGTACTTACCTGAAGACTCCTTCATTCTCTGCTCGTAATTCTTGATCTCCGACCCCAGTATGTCCTCCAACTGACCATCAGGGAAGAGCTGGGACTGAGCAGCCAGGAAGGGCTGCAGGTTCTCCATCATGTTACCGAGGATGCTCAACAGCACCATCTCATCTTGAAGACCTGACCAGAACTTTGCCAGAGCTGTGAAATGGGGCTGGAAGAGGATACATAGTATGCGAGTTGAGGCTTAGACATTAAAGGCCCGTTTTCCAGACACATGTTAAGCTTAGTCCTGGATTAAAAAGCTCTTTCAAATGGAGATTCTCCATTGAGTTAGGTTTTGAGTCTAGGACTAGGTTTAAAATCAAATCAAATCGTATTTGTCACATGCGCCGAATACAACAGGTGAAATGCTTACTTACAAGCCCTTAACCAACAATGCAGTTTTAAGAAAAATAAGTGTTAAGTAAACAATAGATAAGTAAAAAATAACAGTAGCGAGGTTTAATCTGTGTCCGGGAAACTGCCCCCATTACAACACAAATATAACTGAATATACACTACCAGTCAAAAGTTTGGACACACCTACTCATTCAAGGGTTTTTCTTTATTTTTACATTGTAGAATAATAGTGAAGACATCAAAACTATGAAATAACACATATGGACTAATTTAGTAACCAAAAAAGTGTTAAACAAATCAAAATCAATATATTTTTCAAATGGCCATGCCTTGATGACAGCATTTTCACAACCAGCTTCATGAGGTAGTCACCTGGAATGCATTTCAATTAACAGGTGTGCCTTCTTAAAAGTTAATTTGTGGAATTTCTTTCCTTCTTAATGCGTTTGAGCCAATCAGTTGTGTTGTGACAAGGTAGGGGTGGTATACAGAAGATAGCCCTATTTGGTAAAAAAACAAGTCCATATTATGTCAAGAACAGCTCAAATAAGCAAAGAGAAACGACAGTCCATCATTAATTTAAGACATGAAGGTCAGTCAATACGGAACATTTCAAGAACTTTGAAAGTTTCTTCAAGTGCAGTCGCAAAAACCATCAAGCGCTTTGATGAAACTGGCTCTCATGAGGACCGCCACAGGAATGGAAGACCCAGAGTTACCTCTGCTGCAGAGGATAAGGTCATTAGAGTTACCAGCCTCAGAAATTGCAGCCCAAATAAATGCTTCACAGAGTTCAAGTAACAGACACATCTCAACATCAACTGTTCAGAGGAGACTGTATGAATCAGGCCTTCGTGGTCGAATTGCTGCAAATAAACCACTACTAAAGTACACCAATAATAAGAAGAGACTTGCTTGGGCCAAGAAACACAAGCAATGGACATTATACCGGTGGAAATTTGTCCTTTGGTCTGGAGTCCAAATTTGAGATTTTTGGTTTCAACCGCCGTGTCTTTGTGAGACACGGTGTGGGTGAACGGATTATCTCAGAATGTGTATTTCCCACCGTAAAGCATGGAGGAGGTGGTGTTATGGTGTGGTGGTGCTTTGCTGGTGACACTGTCTGTGATTTATTTAGAATTCAAGGAACACTTAACCAGCATGGCTACCAGCGATACGCCATCCCATCTGGTTTGGGCTTAGTGGGACTATCACTTGTTTTTCAACAGGACAATGACACAACACACCTCCAGGCTGTGTAAGGGCTATTTTACCAAGAAGGAGAGTGATGGAGTGCTGCATCAGATGACCTGGCCTCCACAATCCCCCGACCTCAACCCAATTGAGATGGTTTGGGATGAGTCGGACTGCAGAGTGAAGGAAAAGCAGCCAACAAGTGCTCAGCATATGTGGGAACTCGTTCAAGACTGTTGGAAAAGCATTCCAGGTGAAGCTGGTTGAGAGAATGCCAATGGTGTGCAGAGCTGTCATCAAGGCAAAGGGTGGCTATTTGAAGAATCTCAAATATAAAATACATTTTGATTTGTTTAACACTTTTTTGGTTACTACATGATTCCATATGTGTTATTTCATAGTTTTGATGTCTTCACTATTATTCTACAATGTAGAAAATAGTAAAAATAAAGAAAAACCCTGGAATGAGTAGGTGTCCAAACATTTGACAGGTACTGTATATGTGCAAGATACTGTACTTACAAAAACCTGTGCAGTGGGTACTGCAGTCTTTGAATGTATGGTGACCCTCAAAAGCTTCATACGGGTCGCCAGTTCGGTCTGTAGGGTTTCAACTTGCTTTGCACATAGAATGACATCTGCCTGGTGAGGAATTGAATCAGAATAATGGATACAATTATTATGCAACAGAATACTCTTGAAGAACTGCTCATTGGGACAATTTCATGTAAAGACTAAGTCATGAAGCCCATCACCTTCTAGCTAACTCACCAAAATAACTTTGAGAAAGGCTTCATGTTGTCGTACATTATAGAGAGCCTGTTTAAGCATGTCCAGGGGAACAATGCATTCTCTGGTCTCAACCTCAGGGTCCAGAAGCCTCTCCAGCCAGGCTGTGTACTGCCAGGCCAACCTCTGAGAAAGCTCCAGCTCCCATTCAATATCTTTACTGGTGGATGGAATGGCTTCATTCAGAATTGCTGGCACTATATGGGAAATTGAGAACAAAATGGAAAGACACATTTGGAGCTCTGAGAAATTGTTTCAGTTATCAAGGTCTATCAGAAAACACAAATGTGATGTTTTGGAACTTACAGTCGTCGATGCCCTCTCCTCCTTTCCTGCTGTCTTTGTTGAAGAGACGGATGCCAGTCACAATCATGCTGAGGTCGTTGAGCTGTTGTTCCTTTTCCTTCTTGATGAGGGACATGAAGGTCCCCAGCTCTGACTGGGGAAAGACGCTCTGTAAGGCAGCTGCAAAACATCACACACAGTCAGTTGTGAGCAAAACAGGAACAAACTGATCAATGGTGGAAAATGTGAGGATTCCCACATTGTAAAAACTCACTTCCATGGACAGTGTAATTACAATTGACCATTTCCTTTCCCTTCTTTGTGAATAGTGATTCTTAACTAGTGGTACAAATTGGAATAAAATAGTCCTTATGATTACCTGTAGCCTCTCTCACTGTGGTGATGTCGGTTGGGGAACCCAGGCCTGAGCACAGCAGAACATAGCTGACGATCTTATGGTAAAGGCCCTCCAGATCCTCACGTGTTTTCACTCGGCTGTCAGTGATTTCTCGACTCACTGGGACTAGCCTTGACTGTAGTACCCGCTGGTGCTCCTCAATGAACTCACCTGGGACACAAATCAAGACCGTTGAGGCTAAACTGATTAATGGATACAAGACCAGTATCCCATGTCCTGAGACGTTACGTGACACAATGGCCTTACGTCTCAATGCAGCTAGGGTTTAGTTAGTACACCATATGAATCACAAATGTTTAGAAGCATTCTTTGAGCATTTTAAAGCACCCACTTACGTCGAGATGTGTAATTCATGTCAAAGTAGACTTGCATCTTGATTGTGTCAAGGGCAGGGCTCCCCTGATCCACGAGTTTGTCCACACACAACTGCAAAGGAAAAACATGGATGACGAGCCCATTGCTCAAAGATCTCAGGCATGTTACCAGCCAGACCAGGGCCTGTTATAATGAAATGCAGTGAGTCTACACACTTACTTCCACAAGTTTTCTAACATCTTGCTTGGTAAGAGTCCGATCAACGTTGAATAGATTTTGTGGGTCCAACACAACAGCTTTTACCTAATAGTAAAAACATTTGACTACGTAAAGTATGACAAATGTATGCACTCACTAACTGTAAGTCGCTCTGGATAAGAGCGTCTGCTAAATGACTAAAATGTAAACAAAACTGAAAAAGTAAAACACTGACATTTATCACATACACGGCTAGTTACCCAACGCTAGCCACGTTGCTAACTTAAGCCAGGTACCCACCATGAAAGCCACTAATGTTTCAGACACAGCATGTCCTTTTCCGGCACATTCTTGGGCGATTTCTCGAATTATGTTTTTTATCACACTTTCTGCTTGAGCACGAGACATGTTTTTAGCTTGCTAGCCACGGAGATCATGCACATTCACCACTGATGCACCTCGCCCTCCTGGTTAACCGTTGGTTACCATGGTAATCAACGATACACTGCCAAAGGAGGCGACAGTTGCACCGTTATAACAGTAGGAGGCCTAGTAGCTAATGCGTTGATGATACACTAACTCGTGAATCTTCTCGTTAACGCGTTATTACTTTGCAGAACATTGTCATGAAGGATGTAATGAAACCATGCAACATTCTTCAGATACATAAAAATATTTATTCTAAAAACAGACCTGACATACAACTTGGTTTAAGTACATCATAGCAAGACTCGAGCATGAAATATACAATCGAAACCGAGAGGCTGGGACTTCATTTCAACCTCTGACCACCAAGAACTAACATAAATGAGCAGACTATTCATCAGTCTCCATATTTCAGCCCTCAGATAAGGCCTTTCCATTTCCCACAGGGATTGCTTCAGACCTCCATTTAAAAGACCTGTGATTAAGATCACATGGCAACCCCACTTCTTTAGAGTAGAAAAACATGGCAGTTCTAAAAACACACTTAAAAGAACAAGCAAAAACGGTGTGCCAAAATCAAAGAGTCGTTATGTAATAAGTGAATCACACTAGGTAGTAGTAAGTCTACTGTTAATAAAATGGGGTTGATATTCTGGTTGATCAAAATACAGCAAGTTCTTTAACTAATAAGGCCAATTGCGTGTCCATAGGAATAGTAAAAGAAAACCATCAAATGGTAAAGGCATCACAAACATGGCTATCAGGTAGCCTCAATGAAACAACATAAAACATTCTCAAGTTCAGGTATTTGCTGTCAAAATACTTTTACATAAAGACTTATAATAGAAAAACATGTGCTTAAGTCAGATATGACCTATCCATAACAAAAGTTGAAAGACTGCTCAATATTCATAAGTAAAAAAAGTTAATATACTGTGAACAAACATGCAAACTCAAATATGAAAATAAATACAATGTGAACCAACAAATCATACCAGAGTCAAGAATAGAGGTGATGTTTGTACATTGAATCAAGGGCCCAATCACAAACAAAAACGTAGGCTTAAAGGATCAATGCGCAATATAACAGTGTTTGTTTACAGCTCAATAATGACCCTAAATTCAGGACTTGCGCAATATAGGCCTTATATTTGGGACATGAAACATACCCTAAGCAACACTAAGTGCAGCCTCAAGACAACAGAAGGAAAACTCGAATGGATAAGTAAAATGAAAAGTCAGTCTAACATTCAGGCATGGTGGCATTATTAACATACAGTACATTCTCAACTCTTCACCTGCAATGATTTAGCTACAAGTCTTGGAGGGAAAACTACAGTAGCCCATCTTTCACCAAGTGGACACAGAAAATATAACGTGTACATTTTAGGTTAAGTTATTTCAAGACAACTTTAGAAAACCAAATAAAAAACATAGGAAAATGTACTTACAAACTTGATTCAATTTGGGGCACTACGTACAGTTCTGGTCATGGACCTTGCCAGAACTGTGGCATTGTCGTAGTCGTTTCTAAGAAACTGAGAAGATTGATCAAGTGGGCCCTTAAATAAATCGAACATCGATAGGTTTCCCTACCATCATCAAAATACCTGGTTCAAGTGCCTTTTGTCATATTCAAAAAATTAAAACAAAATTGCAAAAAGGGTTGGAAAACCTGTAGAAAAATAACCTCATATTTCAAAAGAGGCACACCCATCCAAGGGTACAGTTACTCTTTTTTAGGAGTCGATCATAGAGGAGAATCAGTCACCTTTCTTTACATAAGGCCAGACCCTGATCAGGGGATTCATGACAAGCACTATAGCTAGCAAGTAAGTAAATCTTCCTTTGACACAAAGGCATGATTTAAGGAAGGCAAACGTCTTGAGTCAGGATTAATGCCACGGTAAGTATAAATCTGAACATTCCCAACTATTGTCTGATCAGTAGAAACATTTTATATCACACTCAAAGTACCAGATTGTTGGAAGGGTCAGTGCTGAACATCAGTAATGAAAGATTGAAAACAATTTAAAAGGTTTAGAAAGCACAGATGTAGAAACTTGGCACTATTGAAGAGCTACACTCTATTGCACGGGTGTGAGAACATGTATCCATACAGTTCAGGCGAGTCCAGCCCAGTAGATGAGTACAGCTCAGAAGCACTTCCTGAAAACAATCTGGGGGCCATATTCCTCATATTCCTCTTGGCTGATCCAGGCCGAGGCAAAGGATGACAAGTTGGCCAGCACTGCACCTCCGCTCCACACAGAGAAATCTCTGTCCTTCGGGCTTGTCACCTTCACACACTCCCCCAAGTCTGTAGGCACCATGGTTCTAATTTCACTCTGAAGCCGCTCAGGCAGTCCAGCCAGCAGGGTATTTCCACCTTCACAGGGGAAATTAAAAACGTTTATGTTGTATCCCAAATGGCACCCTATTCCCCATGTAGTGCACTACTCTTGACCAGGAAGTAGTGCACTACATAGGAATAGGGTGCCATTAGGGACACAGCCTTCGAGCAGACATGGGCAGATGAGTGGACAAGTATTCAGCAACTAATAAACCAAAACTATGTACCTGATAGGACGATGTTCCCCAAAAAGCTCCGCCGGAGATCAATGTCTGAACTGAGGATTGACTTGAAAATACTCTCATGCATCCCGTAATGGTCTCGTCCAATTAGCTCTGGCTTAAACAGAATCTCAGGAGCCCTGTGGATGGAAGACGTCACCGATTAACAGATCTTAGCCGACCCCTGGTGCCTATCCAAAGGCTTATTTGGTAGCACCATAATCAAAACTGAAGAATAAAATGGCACTGTTTGCAAGGGGAAACACTTGCAGTTCTTAGTCTCAATTTCCTCACTTAATTATCCCTACTCATTAGGGTGAGTGTTTAGTCTTCAGAGTGAGGATACAGGGGGTCGGTCAGATGGTTACCTGAACCGCTCTGTGCTGAGGCGGACGACCTGTCCATCAGGCATGGTGTAATACATCTCACTGCTGGCCGACCCCCCACAGGTTAACTCCGATTCATAGTCCTGGGACACCTGGCAGCATTTCTCCTTCATCTCCCTCACAATCTCCATTTCGGCAGAAGTGCGCATGCAGACCCCCTGCTCCTGCAGAAGCTGGGACACAGGACAGTAACACAAAGAACAGGCAATGGGCATTGTTTAAGTGAAAATAATTTTGAACTAAATTGTTTTATTGACCAAATCCCTGTCCCTGTCATAAATACATACAGATAATTATGCATTCATATCAAATACCTTTTTAAGGTGCATTGTAACATCATGGCCAGCCAGGGTGCAGCGCTGCACTGCGTGAGGTAGACAGTATCCCTCAAACACTGGCACACTATGGCTCACTCCATCCCCAGAGTCAAACACTACACCTAGTAGGAGAAACAGATACTCTAATGATTATCTGCCATCTTCACAATTATTCATCCAGATAGTAGATGTACAGTAACCAGTATTAGATTTGAGCTTTAAACATACAGTCATCTACTCTGGCATACAACTGATTATTAATTAATATGTTAACCGACTAGACACATTTGTAGAGTATATAATCGTGCTTGTTTTACCTGTGGTTCTCCCTGCTGCATAAAGCGCCAGCACCGCCTGCATGGCCACGTAGGTGAGTGGAACATTGAAGCACTCAAACATGAGTTCCACCATGCGCTGCCGGTTCTCCAGCGGGTTCATGGCTGCCTCGGTCAGTAGGACAGGGTGATCATCTGGTTCCACATGCAGCTGCTGGAATGTGTGGTGCCAAATCTGAAACCAGACACAATTGAGCAGTGAGGTCAAAGGTCAAAACCACCACAACCAGATACTATGGCTTCATCAGTACTCCTAAAACGCACCACTAAAGCTAATACAGATCATTGGATAAAATTAAGTCAACAACATATCACCAACCTTTTCCATTTCATCCCAGTTGCGTATAATTCCGTTCTTCATGGGATACTTCAGTGCCAAGACTCCCCTCATATGTTGAGCCTCGTGTCCAATGTAGGTCTCCCGTTCCAAGATGCCATTCATTATTTCCTGATGCCAGAATAAATGTAAATTAGAAAGAAAGTCTGCACATAGGGAAAGCTATGGTGGCCAATGACCTTCACTTGCTGAAAAACATCACAGCCCCAGAGTATAGATGCCACATACTTGGCTGTTGCGTTACCTCGTATTTGGGCAGCCCAATGATATTTGGGAATACAGTAGTCGGGAGGTCCTGATCTGCAAACCCTGCTTTCATCAAACCAGATCCTGTGTCCAGCACAATAGCGGTCTTGAAATTGTTCATCTGTAAAAATAAATAATAATCTAACCATTCACATTTAACTGAAAGAGAATGTATAATAAAATCAGGTTTATGGTGAATAATGTGGATATCTTTCCCATCAACTAAAGCCTTACGTCTCTAGTGGTGATGTGGTGATTGGGTTGATTGACAGGGGATCTCCTGGCAGTCCCACGCCTCTGAAACCCATCAGGGACCTCTACTTCTCTCCACTCATCAGCTCCGCTTGGTTCACATGATCCAGATGTTACTTCAGCAGACATACGAGATAGCTCTTCAGAATTAGACCCCAAATGTGTTATTAAAACATCCTCAGATTTCTGGGAGCGGTGGATTTCTGTCTGGATTTCTATCTGAACACAGTCAGAGTCAACAGGCGTTAATATTGATCCCACAGAGCAACCGTCTAGCATTGACTGTTCATGGAACTCCAAAGGGTTATTACATAAGGACGCCTGTTGATCTGCGAGGGGTTTGTCGTGGTTGTTACTTCTGTGTTCATTCACATCTGGACTCAAAACAGGACTAGGAGATCTGTGTGTAGATTTGGGGCGTCGCTCTTTAGGCTTCGGATGAGTGTTGAGCTCTGACACGACTTGCGGTGCGAGCCTAGGGTCAGGGTCTGAATCACCATCAGGGCAGAGAGTTCTATACATGGGTTCCGTTGGAATTTTGAGTTCTTGACTTTTATCATTCACAGGAAGTGATGCCTTTCTTGGTTTAGGCACAGGGAGGTTGTTGGCATTAGCACCTGGGTCAAATGCTCCATGTTCGGGGCACATTTCCGGTGTCAAGGAGGTGGTCTCTGGTGTGCAACTTTGAACAACTTCCCCAGATCTTAAATCTTTCTCCTCTGTACCCTCATGGTGTTGGATTCCAACCTCTTCAATAGATTCATTGGTATCAGAAGGGATTTGTGGTGGAGTTAAGACTTGTTGTGGTGCACTGGACTTCATAAGATCATGGTGGCTGGGAGTGTCTACTTCTACCATGGCATCACCACAACCGGATATATTAGAGTCCCAATGTGGGGATTGACCATTTACACTTTGAACAAATTCTTGTGATACAGGGGTTTTGGCAGTCTCTGGACATGGGGTTGCAGTAATACTGAGGGATTCATTAGGATCCAAGTTTATGGGGTCTAGGGGCAAGATAGGCAAGTGCTTTACGTTGCGGTGTTGGCTCCTATAGTCTGATATAAGCTCATCACAGAGTGCACGGTCCTCCAAGTTTTTAAGTTCAGAAGTCCTTTCCATTATAGAGCATTTCACTACTTTCCTGGTTCTGCTTATCCTCTTCTTGAGTTGACATTCTTTGGTCATCTCTTTATCTAGGCTCTTTTCCATCCTCTCCACTTCCCTTTTCTCCCTCTGTAGTTCTAATAGAAACACCTGCCTCTCCTTGCTCCTACTTCGGGAACTCGCTGATTGAGGGGGCTTTTCATCAAGGCACTGCTTCTCAGCCCGTCGAAGCTCGTGGAGCTTGAGGTTCTCCTCCATGATGAGCTCATCCAGAACGTGCAGTCCTCTCAGCTCCTTCAGCAACTCTCCCCTGCTGATTTGAGGGGACATCAGACCAGTCAAACCAGTCTCCATCAGCCGTCCATTGTGGCACATGCTGTGTTCTGAGGCCTCAGTTTCACTGGCTGCCTCTGGTGACCTGCATTCACTCTGGTTGTCATTGTCAGCAGAGGCAAGACTGTCATCAAGGCCCAGGACACCATGTGCCTTTAGGTCACAGGAGGACATCTGGAAAACAATACAATAACATTGTTATTAACAATAACAGAAAAATAATAGTGGAGATTCCCCATCAGCTGATTATCTATTACGATTTAAACTCCAGCAAACAAAATAAACATATTGTATTATTAAATTAAATCTATGTTCAATCTTGTAAAAACAATACTTTCTTACCCAATGTGCAGGGAGACACAAAATCAAATGTATAGAATCCAATTTGTAATGTACGGACAGTGGTCTACTTTGTTCGTAGTTCACCAGCTTAATGGTTCCATGATCCAGATCTGACCTAGAGGTACACATTTATATCATCATGACCTACCACACTTATCTGCGTCTCACTGCCCCATGATTCCCATGGTTTGTTCGTGCTCTCAGTCTTCAGAAGAACAGCCAACATATGCTCCTGTGCCATCACATTTTCTTCCTCCTGTATAAAAACACAAAGAATTAGAGAAGTGTTTACAAATGCAAGCTACTGGCCTATGCCAACTGTGGTTAAGGTAGTGTTGCAAAATTCCAGGGACTTTCAATAAATTCCCAGGTTTTCCAGAAATCCTGATTGAGAATTCCAGATTTCCTGCTTATTCCCTCCTGATTCTGGGAATCCTCCAACCGGGATTTCTGGAACACCAGGGAATTTATTGAACATTCCCGGAATTTTGCAACCCTAGGTTTAGGTCACTATTACCAATCTCAGTAAAGTGCAAATCTGAGGCGCCAAACGATTTACTGCTTCGGCATGAAAACAATCCATTGAACATTTGAACCAACGTGCCTCTAGTATTCCAGCTGCCCGGTCCAAGATCTCCTCTACCTCCCTGAGACCCTCCTGCTCCTTCAGGTCCCAGTCATTTAACGAGACTTCAGTCATGGAGCTGGTTATCCTGCAAACACATCAAACAGCAACAAGACGAGTGCTTGGCGTTCAGTTTACTAGGCACAATGGGCACCCATGAGGATCAAGTCAGGAGACAAGAGCATAGTGTGCCATTACCTTTCACAGGTGTCCTGTTTGGGGTTGTGGAAGTCATACGTATCCCAGAGTAGTGTGGGGGCACTCTCTGCAGTGTAGTTGGGCCCATCTCTTGCATCTGCGATGGTGCTGGAGAGGGCATTCCGAACGGGGCTCAGATCCGAGTCATCAAAGCTGTCATGTGCCTGCAGGATACGGGGCTGTGCCCCTCTGCTCTGAGGGCTGGTTTGTACCTCTGTCTGTGAGGGCTGGTCTCTGGACCAGTTGGATGATCGGTCACTGTGGTGGGAGCACTCTGAAGGGTTCGGGCTCTTGACGTCCCGCGGGTGTGGTGACTGTGATGGGTTCTGGGTGATGGTGACCGTGTAGGAGTTCTCCAGGTCTTCCACAGGCAGACTGAGCCATGGGTTCTGGGGCAGGGTAGCCGACCGCTTCAGCTTGATCTCAAAATGCATCGAGTCCACAGTTATCTTTGGGATGATCTGAATGCTGGCCCTGGAGGTGCTTCCCACGGAGCCAAAGTCAAACTCCTCCCTGCGGTCCTCAGAGTCAGACACGCTGGAGATGTTCTCCTTGTGGATCTGGGGCTGCCTGGTGCCTGGTACCCTGGACAGTCCCTCCCACCCCTCTCGCCCAGCTCCAGTCTCCATGTGGCCGCTTCCTGCTCCATCAAAGCCAGAGTCAAAGGAGCTGAGGGACGGAGGCTTCCCTACAGCAGTCACAGCCCCAGAGACAGCACTGGAGGGAGCCGTACCCAAAGGGGCCTGATGGTGCTTCAGGTTGGAGGGGGAGCCGTGGCTGTGCATGTTGTCCTTAGTGTGGCAGTCGGATCTGGAACCAGAGGTTCTACTGTGACTACACATCGCATCTGGAATGCTGTGAATGGCCTCAGGCCCTCTGCCTACAGGCAGGTTAGTTTGTGGCCCAGGTCCTTTCCTGTGGCTGGCTCGCAGAAACTCATACTGCCACTGCAGCGCTAACTGGAGGTCGTTGATAGGAACTGCCCCTGGACAGGTCAGGAGTTTACACAGAGTCATGCACCTGAAAGAGAACGTGGCAGGGTCAACCTTGATCAAGTATTCGATAAAAGTCACCAGATCAAATGGCTATGGAAGTCTTTAGTTAATACCCTACTAAAGCATTTCAAATCGCATGGTGGTATAAACCTTATTACACAACAGTAGTTTCCTGACACACAACTGGAGTTTCTCACCTTTGTGATAGCCGTTTGCCAGTCTGCTGCAGCTGGGTGTCAGGGATGACGTTGGCCAGGTGAGCCAGCTGGACCAGCTCCTCCATGTCCGGGGAGGGGTTATTTCTCAGGAAGTCACAGACCGCCTGCCTCCACACAGGGACAGGGCCATGCATCTCCAGCGGGTGGCGCCGCTTGGGGAGGCGGTCACAGTTCACACCCCACAGAAGGGCTTGGAGAAAGTTCTCACACAGGACTATGTTGTACCAACTATTGGCCTGTTGAGATGAAAGAAATGGAGTACATGACATCAGATTAAATAGACAATGTCTAACCACATGCACATCACAGGAGATAAACATTTAAAATGTAATGTAATTTCAATAATCTTCCTAATTGTTGTCATGTTCAATTACATCACCACTTCAGTATAATGTAAAAAGTTGGCATGTACAGTCAGGAATCATAAAACATTAGTGCAAGTGGACAACTACTTTGTTGTAGTAGTGGTAGAAGTCAGAGACTGCTCGGAGGGTCTGATTAGGGAGTTCTACAGCAGAGTGGAAGTTCTCCTTCAGTCTGTCCAGAACCTGCACCCACTCTTCCCTGGTCTGGGCATCACCAGGAGGCAGAATCTCAGCTAACGTGTGGATCACATCCTCAGAACAGCGGACCAGGGCCTGACAAGGAGGAGGACAAACACCACCGCTGTGTTGTTTAGGATCCACACAGCAGCTCTAATACTGCAATGCACACATCTTAGAAGGAAGAAAATATCAGAGTAGCCTATATTTACCATGGCAGGAGTATAGATGGATGCCTCAAATTCTGATGTTAACGTCTCAGCCCTTCTGGCATCTTTTGCGATCTCTATTCTGTAAGGCTGGAGCTTCTCTTTCTGAAGGCTTTTAATCTGTTCCATTATCTGCAAGTGGAGGTAAATAAACCAAAATAATTCAACATTTAAATAAGCCTCTCTGAAATGGAAAAAGGCAAGACAACTGGGTCATGTTCATTAGGCACCAAATGTAAGAACTGACAAACAGGGACTGGACTTTTTTTGATTTCAGTTGCAAAGCATTTTTTAATGTTTTTGGTTGCGTGCCCCTAATGAACAGAATCTTAAAGTAATTGTTTTTATGTATTATAACAAACCTGCTGTGCCTCATTACGCAGCTGGAAGACCTGCAGCTGAAGGTGGGCCTTGGAAAAGGCCTGTTGCCACAGCAACTCAATTTTTTCCACAGCCACAGTTATCCTTTCAACAAAGACAATCAAATACAGTCAACCCGTGGAAACGACTCATGGTAGCAGAATACTATGAAGAACCTTGAAATAGAGCAGTTCTGTATACATTGCTTACAGTCGTGGTCAAAAGTTTTGAGAATTACACAAATACTAAATTTTCACAAAGTCTGCTGCCTCAGTTTTGATGATGGTAATTTGCATATACTCCAGAATGTATATGTTCTTCCTCTGTTAACCATGGTTACCTACAAGGAAACACGTGCCGTCATCGTTGCTTTGCACAAAAAGGGCTTCACAGGCAAGGATATTGCTGCTAGTAAGATTGCACCTAAATCAACCATTTATCGGATCATCAACAACTTCAAGGAGAGAGGTTCAATTGTTGTGAAGAAGGCTTCAGGGCGCCCAAGAAAGTCCAGCAAGCGCCAGGACCGTCTCCTAAAGTTGATTCAGCTTCGGGATTGGGGCACCACCAGTGCAGAGCTTGCTCAGGAATGGCTGCAGGCAAGCGTGAGTGCATCTGCACGCACAGTGAGGCGAAGACTTTTGGAGGATTGCCTGGTGTCAAGAAGGGCAGCAAAGAAGCCACTTCTCTCCAGGAAAAACAACAGGGACAGACTGATATTCTGCAAAAGATACAGGGATTGGACTGCTGAGGACTGGGGTAAAGTCATTTTCTCTGATGAACCCCTTTCCGATTGTTTGGGGCATCCGGAAAACACAGGAGAAGACAAGGTGAGCGTTACCATCAGTCCTGTGTCATGCCAACAGTAAAGCATCCTGAGACCATTCATGTGTGGGGTTGCTTCTCAGCCAAAGGAGTGGGCTCACTCACAATTTTGCCTAAGAACACAGCCATGAATAAAGAAATGGTACCAACACATCAAATCAAATTTTATTGGCCACATGCGCCGAATACAACAGGTGCAGACATTACAGTGAAATGCTTACTTACAGCCCTTAACCAACAGTGCATTTATTTTTAATAAAAAAGTAAAATAAAACAAAAAAGTGTTGAGAAAAAAAGAGCAGAAGTAAAATAACAGTAGGGAGGCTATATATATATACAGGGGGGTACCGGCTAGTTGAGGTAGTTGAAGTAATATGTACATGTGGGTAGAGTTAGTGACTATGCATAAATAATTAACAGAGTAGCAGCAGCGTAAAAATATGGGGTGGGGGGGGGCAGTGCAAATAGTCCGGGTAGCCATGATTAGCTGTTCAGGAGTCTTATGGCTTGGGGGTAGAAGCTGTTGAGAAGTTTTTTGGACCTAGACTTGGCACTCCGGTACCGCTTGCCGTGCTGTAGCAGAGAGAACAGTCTATGACTAGGGTGGCTGGAGTCTATGACAATTTTGATGGCCTTCCTCTGACACCGCCTGGTATAGAGGTCCTGGATGGCAGGAAGTTTGGCCCCAGTGATGTACTGGGCCGTACGCACTACCCTCTGTAGTGCCTTGCGGTCGGAGGCCAAGCAGTTGCCATACCAGGCGGTGATGCTACCGGTCAGGATGCTCTCAATGGTGCAGCTGTAGAATTTTGAGGATCTGGGGACCCATGCCAAATCTTTTCAGTCTCCTGAGGGGGAATAGGCTTTGTCGTGCCCTCTTCACGACTGTCTTGGTGTGTTTGGACCATGATAGTTCATTGGTGTGGACACCAAGGAACTTGACGCTCTCAACCTGTTCCACTACAGCCCCGTCGATGAGAATGGGGGAGTGCTCAGTCCTCTTTTTTTCCCCCTGTAGTCCACAATCATCTCCTTTGTCTTGGTCACGTTGAGGGAGAGGTTGTTATCTTGGCACCACACGGCCAGGTCTCTGACCTCCTCCCTATAGGCTGTCTCATCGTTGTCGGTGATCAGGTCCTACCACTGTTGTGTCGTCTGCAAACTTATGATGGTGTTGGAGTCGTGCCTGGCCATGCAGTCATGGGTGAACAGGGAGTACAGGAGGGGACTGAGCACGCACCCCTGAGGGGCCCCCGTGTTGAGGATCAGTGTGGCAGATGTGTTGTTACCTCCCCTTACCACCTGGGGGCGGCCCGTCAAGAAGTCCAGGATCCAGTTGCAGAGGGAGGCGTTTAGTCCCAGGATCCTTAGCTTAGTGATGAGCTTTGAGGGCACTATGGTGTTGAATGCTGAGCTGTAGTCAATGAATAGCATTCTCAAGTAGGTGTTCCTCTTGTCCAGGTGGGAAAGGGCAGTGTGGAGTGCAATAGAGATTGCATCATCTGTGGATCTGTTGGGGCAGTATGCAAATTGGAGTGGGTCTACGGTTTCTGGGATAATGGTGTTGATGTGAACCATGACCAGCCTTTTCAAAGCACTTCATGGCTACAGACGTCAGTGCTACGGGTCGGTAGTCATTTAGGCAGGTTATCTTAGTGTCCTTGGGCACGGGGACTATGGTGGTCTGCTTGAAACATGTTGGTATTACAGACTCAGTCAGGGACATGTTGAAAATGTCAGTGAAGACACTTGCCAGTTGGTCAGCACATGCTCGGAGTACACGTCCTGGTAATCCGTCTGGCCCTGCGGCCTTGTGAATGTTGACCTGCTTAAAAGTCTTACTCACATCGGCTACGAAGAGCGTGATCACATAGTCATCCGGAACAGCTGGTGCTCTCATGCATGCTTCAGTGTTGCTTGCCTCGAAGCGAGCATGGAAGTGGTTTAGCTCGTCTGGAAGTCTTGTGTCACTGGGCAGCTCGCGGCTGTGCTTCCCTTTGTAGTCTGTAATAGTTTTCAAGCCTTGCCACATCCGATGAGCGTCAGAGCCGGTGTAGTACGATTCAATCTTAGTCCTGTATTGACTCTTTGCCTGTTTGATGGTTCGTCGGAGGGCATAGCGGGATTTCTTATAAGCGTCCGGGTTAGAGTCCCGTTCCTTGAAAACGGCAGCTCTACCCTTTAGCTCAGTGCGGATGTTTCCTGTAATCCATGGCTTCTGGTTGGGGTATGTACGTACGGTCACTGTGGGGATGACATCATCGATGCACTTATTGATGAAGCCAGTGACTGATGTGGTGAACTCCTCAATGCTATCTGAAGAATCCCGGAACCTGTTCCAGTCTGTGCTAGCAAAACAGTCCTGTAGCTTAGCATCTGCGTCATCTGAACACTTTTTTTATTAACCAAGTCACTGGCGCTTCCTGCTTTAGTTTTTGCTTATAAGCAGGAATCAGGAGGATAGAGTTATGGTCAGATTTGCCAAATGGAGGGTGAGGGAGAGCTTTGTATGCGTCTCGGTGTGTGGAGTAAAGGTGGTCTAGAGTTGTTTTTCCTCTGGTTGCACATTTAACATGCTGGTAGAAAAGAGGTAAAATGGATTTAAGTTTCCCTGCATTAAAGTCCCTGGCCACTAGGAGCGCTGCCTCTGGATGAGCGTTTTCCTGTTCACTTATGGCCTTATACAGCTCATTCAGTGCAATCTTAATGCCAGCATTGGTTTGTGGTGGTAAATAGACAGCTATGAAAAATATAGATGAAAACTCTCTTGGTAAATAGTGTGGTCTACAGCTTATCATAAGATACTCTACCTCAGGCGAGCAAAACCTTGAGACTTCCTTAATATTTAATTTTGTGCACCAGCTGTTAATAATAATAATAATAATAATAATAATAATAATAATAATGCCATTTAGCAGACGCTTTTATTCAAAGCGACTTAGTCATGATGCATAAATTTTTGTGTATGGGTGGTCCCGGGGATCGAACCCACTACCTTGGCGTTACAAGCGCCGTGCTCTACCAGTTGAGCTACAAATATACACAGACCGCCACCCCTTGTCTTACCGGAGTCAGCCGTTCTATCCTGCCGAGGTAGCGTATAGCCCGCTAGCTGTACGTTGTCCATGTCGTCGTTCAGCCACGACTCGGTGAAACATAAGATATTACAGTTTTTAATGTCCCGTTGGTAGGATAACCGTAATCTTAGGTCATCAATTTATTCTCAAATGATTGAAGATTGGCTAATAGGTTTGATGGGAGAGGCAGTTTACTCGCTTGCCGTTGGATCCTTACAAGGCACCCCGACCTACGTCCACTATATCTCTGTCTCTTTCTCATGCGAATGACAGGGATTTGGGCCTTGTCGGGTGTCTGTAGGATATCCTTCGCGGCCGCCTCGTTGAAGAAAAAATCTTCGTCCAATACGAGGTGAGTAATCGCTGTCCTGATATCCAGAAGCTCTTTTTGGTTATAAGAGACTATGGCAGACACATTATGTACAAAATAAATTACAAATAACGTGGAAAAACACACATAATAGTACAATTGGTTAGAGGGCTGTAAAACAGCAGCCATCTTCTCCGGCGCCATACAGTGGGGGAAAAAAGTATTTAGTCAGCCACCAATTGTGCAAGTTCTCCCACTTAAAAATATGAGAGAGGCCTGTAATTTTCATCATAGGTACACGTCAACTATGACAGACAAATTGAGAATTTTTTCCCCAGAAAATCACATTGTAGGATTTTTAATGAATTTATTTGCAGATTATGGTGGAAAATAAGTATTTGGTCACCTACAAACAAGCAAGATTTCTGGCTCTCACAGACCTGTAACTTCTTCTTTAAGAGGCTCCTCTGTCCTCCACTCGTTACCTGTATTAATGGCACCTGTTTGAACTTGTTATCAGTATAAAAGACACCTGTCCACAACCTCAAACAGTCACACTCCAAACTCCACTATGGCCAAGACCAAAGAGCTGTCAAAGGACACCAGAAACAAAATTGTAGACCTGCACCAGGCTGGGAAGACTGAATCTGCAATAGGTAAGCAGCTTGGTTTGAAGAAATCAACTGTGGGAGCAATTATTAGGAAATGGAAGACATACAAGACCACTGATAATCTCCCTCGATCTGGGCCTCCACGCAAGATCTCACCCCGTGGGGTCAAAATGATCACAAGAACGGTGAGCAAAAATCCCAGAACCACACGGGGGGACCTAGTGAATGACCTGCAGAGAGTTGGGACCAAAGTAACAAAGCCTACCATCAGTAACACACTACGCCGCCAGGGACTCAAATCCTGCAGTGCCAGACGTGTCCCCATGCTTAAGCCAGTACATGTCCAGGCCCGTCTGAAGTTTGCTAGAGTGCATTTGGATGATCCAGAAGAGGATTGGGAGAATGTCATATGGTCAGATGAAACCAAAATAGAACTTTTTTGTAAAAACTCAACTCGTCGTGTTTGGAGGACAAAGAATTCTGAGTTGCATCCAAAGAACACCATACCTACTGTGAAGCATGGGGGTGGAAACATTATGCTTTGGGGCTGTTTTTCTGCAAAGGGACCAGGACGACTGATCCGTGTAAAGGAAAGAATGAATGGGGCCATGTATCGTGAGATTTTGAGTGAAAACCTTCCATCAGCAAGGGCATTGAAGATGAAACATGGCTGGGTCTTTCAGCATGACAATGATCCCAAACACACCGCCCGGGCAACGAAGGAGTGGCTTCGTAAGAAGCATTTCAAGGTCCTGGAGTGGCCTAGCCAGTCTCCAGATCTCAACCCCATAGAAATCTTTGGAGGGAGTTGAAAGTCTGTTGCCCAGCGACAGCCCCAAAACATCACTGCTCTAGAGGAGATCTGCATGGAGGAATGGGCCCAAAATACCAGCAAACAGTGTGTGAAAACCTTGTGAAGACTTACAGAAAACCTTTGACCTGTGTCATTGCCAACAAAGGGTATATAACAAAGTATTGAGAAACTTTTGTTATTGACCAAATACTTATTTTCCACCATAATTTGCAAATAATTCATTAAAAATCCTACAATGTGATTTTCTGGATTTTTTTTCGCTCATTCAGTGCAATCTTAATGCCAGCATTGGTTTGTGGTGGTAAATAGACAGCTATGAAAAATATAGATGAAAACTCTCTTGGTAAATAGTGTGGTCTACAGCTTATCATAAGATACTCTACCTCAGGCGAGCAAAACCTTGAGACTTCCTTAGTATTTAATTTTGTGCACCAGCTGTTGTTTACAAATATACACAGACCGCCACCCTTGTCTTACCGGAGTCAGCCGTTCTATCCTGCCGATGTAGCGTATAGCCCGCTAGCTGTACGTTGTCCATGTCGTTGTTCAGCCACGACTCGGTGAAACATAAGATATTACAGTTTTTAATGTCCCGTTGGTAGGATAACCGTAATCTTAGGTCATCAATTTATTCTCAAATGATTGAAGATTGGCTAATAGGATTGATGGGGGAGGCAGTTTACTCGCTTGCCGTTGGATCCTTACAAGGCACCCCGACCTACGTCCACGATATCTGTCTCTTTCTCATGCGAATGACAGGCCTCTCTCATCTTTTTAAGTGGGAGAACTTGCACAATTGGTGGCTGACTAAATACTTTTTTCCCCCACTGTACTTACACCTCCATACATACACCTCCGAGTGCAACTTCTCCCAACTATCCAAGAACAGTTTGGTGACGACCAATACCTTTTCCAGCATGATGGAGCACCTTGCCATAAGGCAAAAGTGATAACTAAGTGGCTTGGCGAACAAAACATCGCCATTTTGGGTCCATGGCCAGGAAACTCCCCAGAACTTGTGGTCGATCCTCAAGAGGCGGGTGGACAAACAATACCCCACAAATTCGGACAAACTCCAAGCATTGATTATGCAAGAATGGGCTGCCATCAGTCAGGATGTGGCCCAGAAGTTAATTGACAGCATGCCAGGGTAGAATGCAGAGGTCTTGAAAAAGAAGGGTCAACACTGCAAATATTGACTATTTGCATAAACTTAATGTAATTGTCAATAAAAGCCTTTGACACTTATGGAATGCTTGTAATTATACTTCAGTATACCATAGTAACATCTGACAAAAATATCTCATAACACTGAAGCAGCGAACTTTGTGAAGACCAATACTTGTGTCATTCTCAAAACGTTTGACCACGACTGTACATAATAGCTATCCATTGACAGCTTTGCCTAGATAGAAAGTTATTTTCTGTGTAAAATATGCAAGTACTCACTTCAACAGCAAATATAAATGCACACCTTACTCCTCCACGTAAGGAAACGCTAAATGCCAGCTTGCCTACATTTACTTTCTCAGGAGTGTCTACCACACAGAAGTACCTGCTGTAGTTCTGCAGCATGTCGAAGGCTGTGTGGGTGAAGAGGGCCGTCCCGGCCACGGCCTGATAGCACGAGTTCTTCTCAGGGTAGCGCAGCTTCTCGACCACACACTCACAGTGCCTTAGCAGCTCGTCCAACCCCAGCTCCCTACACACCACAAGGATAGTAGAGTTCAACATGTCGTTTGTACATACGCGGTCACTCAGCCTTTGCAGGGGCAGAAGAGTCCATAGAGTCAAGGAACTGTTCAAGGAAATCCTTCAACAGGCGTTGCAACTTGAGGCAGGTAACTTAAGTCATTAAAAGCACTGTTAGAAAGTGAGCACATGTACAGTAGCTATATGTCGGCTTACACCTACCTGTACTAGCCAAAGTAGGCATTTGTTATGTCCAACTGAAAGAGACCAATGGTGAAAATGGAGTCTCTTACCGCCGAAGCAGTTGGAACTTGGCCTCGTTGGTGGAACAGAAGGCCTTCAGCTCGGTGAAGGCAGAAGGAACAGGCTGTCTGGAGAGGGTCTGCAGGGTGGAGATGGAGGACGGGAGCCTCTGGACCACCGAGAGAAACTCCTGGACAAAGCAGTCAATCTCCTACATAAACAACAGTCCAAGATAGTTAGAGGGGTAATCAGAGGGTGAGATGAAGTAAACAAAAAGATTAGGAAAAAAAAAAAGTAAATCCTGTCGCATCAAAAAAGCATTATTCATATGCTTGTCGAAGTTGTACAACCACCAACCAATTAGGCAAAAGACAACCAAAATCTACAACTGTAACAAAAACAACAGTTTGCTCACCTACTCAATCTACTGGAAATTGTTTTGCCAAGAATGTCCATTTAGTTACTCTAACAGCACAACACTGTAGCCGAAAACATTAATTATATCGTCTCAAAACAGACTGCCCTCAGCAGTACTAATGAATAGTTAACATGGGTGAATACCCAGTCAAACATGAGTGAATATGATCAAATGGCAAGAGGAGAGGGGGCCGCCTTTCACTTGGTAATGAGGTCCGCTGATTGCACTCTGCAATTGCGCAAGCTTCACCAAGGTAACAAACAATGGATCGGGGGCCACATCACTGAAACTCATGAATGAAAGATCTCCCCACAGATGACGCAGTTGAATCACTGACTGCACACTCATCTCTCTATATAGATTCATTAACTGAATCTACCACAGATGTTTACTAGTGGAAGAAATAAGAATTTAGCTTGGCGCGGAAGTCTCCCCCTCTAGTCATTTCATCCTCAAGACAGACAGCAAAAGCAGAGGATAGGAGCCCCCAGTGAGGTCGTCCATCAACCCCTGATGGGGAGAGGAGGACAATGCTGCCGTGTGTTAAACATATTAGTGGAGTTATGACTGATTCTAAGACCTCCAGATAATCTACCCGCCAAAGCTCACTGTGGCAAACAAGACTGCCCTTTTAAGAAGATCACATTACACTATTGACAAGACTAGTCATGTATTGCATAAGATTTATCATAAGAAAAGTCTTGGGTGCTTATTCTACAGAACGAGTAGTGACGCTAGTAATCCATGGAATTCTTTGAAAGAAAACTGGCATGAGAATTCTGGTGAGATTATATGCCAATGAATGGGCACAAGCATTTTACAAATGGCATAACTTTTCACTTGACCAATAAGCAAAATACCACAGGATAAAATGAAATACAGTCCATGTAACTGATTGTAAGAGACAAACCTTGATAAAGGTCACCCAACTCCGATGACAGTAAACCAGGTAGCCTCCTAAAGCTGCAGTCAACTGGCTTCTATCAATGTAGTTGGAAAGGTCAAAGACCTCTTTCAGCAGAACTCTCTGTTGGTATTAAAAGGATGTTTAGCCCCACACACACACATCCTAGTTTCATGCTATGTACTATGAAAGGTGAATTCACAGTCAGTGAACCCATCTTACCTTAAAGGGAGCAACATATGACTTTGATGGTACCAGCAGTTTCAACAATAGTTTCAGAACATCTTTCTTTTTCGGTTGAATTATGTATACAGTGTGTGCGGTCCTCCTATGAAACTAGATGGGGCGAGAAATGAATGTTACACTTTCATCAATATTAATTAATGACAAGTCAAAATCACACACATTCTAGTAGTACAACTTGGGTGGGGCACACTGAAAGCCTTCCCTGATTTGGAATTGTAATGAGCACCACTGTTCTGTCAGTGGCCATGACAAATGAGGATGACAAACTGACCTAAAGATTCACTGCACCATTATCAAAAATGACTAAATCAAATGTACACATTAGTATGTTTGTGGACATTAACAGTCTGCCATTTGATTGTCAACATGATAAAAGTAATCAGACAAAGAAAGCCACAGACCACGGTGAATTGTGTATTGCAGATTTCCGAACAAACACATTAACCAATTTAGCTCAGATAATGCAATTCCTCATGCAATTCCACTAGAGTTTATTAAATAACTGAAGGCATATGATCCAGCATGTGATCTCCCTCCCCCAACACAGCTTCAGTGTTTTAGCCCTGAAGAGCAACATCAGAAAATAACACTTAATGAGACAGGAGTACCAGAAAGGCCAATCTGAGGTGGAGCTATGAAGTGCTGAACAACATTATTGTGGTTGAACTGGACACAGCAATAAAACTGAGACTCACTTTTTGTCAACACTTCAAAGACAAAAATCAACTTATTTTGAATTGTGCAGAAGTGGATTGAGGGGTACTAAATAACATTACTTTATGAACCAACTATGACCCATTACTGTAACGCAATGCCTTACAATCCATCTAAAACATGAAATATTTGTGTCTGTACAAAATATGAAATGCCGACTCAAATTATTGTTGCAAAATGATAAAATAGATACCTCAAGGAGAAGAAGAGTTTCAGCGATGAACCTTGTTGTAGTAAGAGTGGCTTGTCTCAAATCAGCCACAACTGAAACCAAACTCTCCTTCTCCTGTTTCTTACTATAAAAACAAAGTGGTATTAGTACGGCTTAACATGACTAACTGTTTTGTTTGTGCAATCATCTTAAATTGACATCCTTCTTAAAAACACACACACAATTACATTGTAGGTACATACTTGTGCAAACTGAGGAAGTAGTGTATGAAGTCAACCACTTCAGATTTGCTTAGATCTGAAAGATTGCCATGAGCATCCACAGGGAACATAACCAGAGGACATCCATGCTGATCAAAGGCACCTGTTGACAGAAGTCCAATCATTTCATGTGCACATTGTTAGAGTTCATGTTTTGCTATTGTTTTGTTACATTTTGCACATTGTAACAAATAATGAATAGAGTATTTATTATAGCCTACCAGGGAAAACCACTGCTCCCGAGTTCAACACATGATCTGTAGGCAACGGTGGGGAGGGGGAGGCCCCTCGGAATTCTGAAAGGATTTGTGGGAAACGAATATTTACATTAGAAACATGCCTGGGAACAACTTCATTGGTGTTTTTCCACTGACTGTAGAAACCTGAGCGTCCGGTGCATTCCTAACCCCCTCCCCACCCAACTGCAGCCAATAAGTAGCAAAACTACCCTCGCTATAATACGTCAGGACAGAGTTTATTTGCAGGCACATTTTACACACTTCATTTACCACAAACACAAAGCGCTACCATCACACGTGACATTAAATTGCAACATTATAACTTCGTAATTTTGTAACAAATTCTCACGCTGCAGCGTGCACTTGACTCGATTCTTACCTGTTGCGTGGCGGCGGCTCATTGTGGTGTTCTCACAGTCCTATCCAAATGTTGAAGCCTTCGTTGTTATTTTTTATGACTTAACGCGAAAAAATAATTTAGAATTGATCCGCTCATATTTCCAAACTAAACAATCTAAAAGACAGCATTATATTTGAGTGTCGGCTGGACAAAAGACTTAGGATCTAGTCCACTTGTTTCCGCCATATTGCGCCCATTCTGAACCGGGTATCATGCGGTTGAGCAATCCCATTGAGTGGATGCTGCAAGCCCTCATTTATAACTTCAAAATTCGGAGGGCGGGGAAAGATAACGACAACGTGACATACATGGAGAGACGCCTAGCTGTTGACATTATGTGAACTAATGGCAATCAATGCAATGCTTTATTTATATTTTATTATTTTGAGATTAATGATCAGGCAATGCAAATAAAATAGACAATAGAACAATAAATGGCACGCACAGATTATTTCAAAGAGTTGTAACAGACAGTCGATCCTAATGAGAATGTAAATAATTCCTTGCATTACAGATTATAAAATAAACCTTTACCTACCAAAGTTTTGTTGTTGTTGAAATCAACATGTGACCTGCCTATATATGACAGGTGCTTGTGATGCCTGGCATAATCACATGAACCCTCCATGGAAGTTTATTTTCAGATATCAAACACAAAATTACTGCAATTATTACACAAACAAATAGCATGTGGATAATGAGATTTATTGCAGTTGACCAATGGTGATAAGCCAAAGAGAGGCATTTTCTGAGCTTCAATTCGTTCACTTGTCATTCAACCTGTACATTTTCTTTGACGGGAGGATAAAGTCAGCTTGGTCAGGCTTCAATTCTTTAAACTGCTGATTGATGAAATGTTGAAATGCTGCCCTTGTTTCTTCCAGGTCATCCATATACACTTGCTTATCGGCTATAGCTGTGCGGAGGTCTCTGATGGTCTTGTCCAACAGAGTCTGCAGCTCTTGTGTTGACTCCTTCAGGGCAGTCAGTTCTGCCTTGTACCGCCCCTCCGCCTCAACTATGTTGCGTTGGGCAATATCCTTCTCCTCCCTGCGGGTTCTCTCGATGTTGCCAGCGATGCTGGATATCATCACTGCCCTCACTTTTGCCAGTATCTCATCTTTTTTCTTGCTGGCCACAGCCTTCGCATCCTCCGGTTGCAGCATAAAGTCCCTGGTGTAAACATGTCACATAATGAGTTTGTGAACGACAAGAGGACAATCATTAGCCAGTCACAGATCTATTTGAGATTTTGCCTACTCCTCCGTTGTCATCATTGTCAAGCCAAGCATGTTTGCCACGACAATTCCAAGATGGCAAAAACAGACTGGCAACCAGGCTAGAAAATGATGACTATGAAAAACACACAAATCTCACTCAGTACCCCAATTTACACCCATGAGCTGCTTTTGAAATACTGTAGCTATCACTCTGATCACATATGTCTACCAACATCTCCAGGATAGTGGCAGCGTGTGCAGTAGTTTGTTTCTCTTTTCTTCGAGTTCTCACAACACTCTTAGCATGCCGCTGTGCTATCTTCTCTATGGCCCCTCGGATTTCCTGAGAGGCCCTCTCTTCGTTTCGTTCGCGCAGTTTCTCAATGTCGGACCTGACCTTGCGCTTTGTTTTGATATCATACTCAACCAAGGTCTCCTGAGGATGTCATGAGGCAATTCAATTGATTACATAGGCTTACACATAGCCGACCCTACACTCTATTAAAAGATCCGAGCATCATGGCAATTGTAGGTCTACAGCTTTTTATGAAACAATTGATATAGTAGGCTACTCTATCACGCCTAATAGACATGTACAAATTACAATTGTTTTCCTGTGTTAAGTGTCATCATACCTGCAAATAAGAGTTTGCATTTTCCACTTTCCTCCTCAAGAGCTCTCTCTCCTTTCTGGCCAACTGAAGTGTCTCTAACACTATTTTCTCAATTTCCAGATCAGCCTGAAAGCAAGACTTATCAATAGCAAAACCTCTTCCACAGTATTGCGGTCCAGACCTAACGCAATGTTCAACAACAAAAAACAACAGATTTTTTTACCTTGCCCCACGCCTCCTCAGTAGCAGCTCTAATACACTCCTCCTTCTCTTTCTGAAACTCTGTCATGTAATACTGGTGTATGTTTTCTCCTATATCTGCAATTCAATGTGATACAGTCACTTAAACATCTGTTACAGGCTGCTACCATTGATAAATGGAGTGGATGTAGTAAAGGAGGTGTGGACATACCAATGATGTTTGAGTGAGTACTCAACTGCTTCAGCTCTTTCATTGGGTCTCCATACAAAGCTGTGGGCTCTCGCTTTCTTGCAGTGCATCTATGACCTCCTTTAGATAGAGAGGAAGGATGCTGTGAAGCTTTGAGGGTTACCACGTTGGTTTTCCATTGATCTTTGAGTGTGTCCATTTTAGCTTTTACAGTGGACCTCACAATGGTTATTGACGTTTTGACTCCCCCATGGGGCAGGATATCTTGCTTTAATTAAATCTAGCTACAGAGATCTGTTTGGAAGTACTAAAAATATTGCCTTGCTGAAGAAAACAACTAAGAATATATGACTCCAAATGCATGTGTCGGGAATAAGAATAATCCATTGTGATGCAATTCAGAACGCACATGGCTCATTGAGACATTCCAATTACTGTATTTCTTCCCCGGGAGAGCTCTGGTGCCGTTTTAGCATTGGTCAGCTCCTAGCCCAACAATGGACTAAAAGAGCCTAACGTTACTCCATCCTAGAAACATAAATCCCTCTACTTTCATATCAAAATAATTTCACAAATGCAAAATACACAATTAGTGCACAGTTTTGACCGGTTTTAACAGTTGCAGCCGACCGTATTTTTCAGTGACAACACATTTGTGGCCTCTGTCCGCCGTTTATAGTGTAAGGAGACGCAGATTGCTAATTAACACAGGTTAGTCGACTCGTCTTCCGTCTGTTTCCGTAAACAAGCGTTGTAACTTGGAAATGTAGCCGTGTGGGAACCCTAACCCTATAAAAGGTATGTAGTAATTTAAACTTTTGTTTAATATTTTGTTTTTATCCTGCTAATATGAAAGATACATTCCTTGTTTCCAAAACCGTACCGCAAGAGATGCGTGTTAACGTTGAAAGCTAAGTTTCGGCGTAGGCTCTTAACAAAACTCCCCCCTTCAGAAGATACTATCGTCAATTTTCGGTAGCGCGTCTATGACTTGGGTATTCAGCTCCTTGCTTGATGATGATTGCTAATTGCTCTATATGCTTTTATCAGTTTTACATTCTTGCCTTTACTCTAAGGTAAATTGTTATTTCTATAGTTTCATAAATGAATCCAAGAGCTATTGCCTAATTGTAACAATATTTAATAACCATCGTCATTTAATACACAGATCAAGTGCTTTCATGCCAAGCCATTTTTACCACAATAATTTTCAGGATATATTGCACATCTGATGTGATCAGTCCCATTTAGACGTTTTCCTCCTCATGTACTTCTCCCCTTCACTGTCAATAACTTCATACAGCTGCTGGTCGTTCTCTTTGGTGGCATGAAGGTAGCCCAGGTACCCCACACACAAGGTGATTGTCACAAGTCCAAATGCCATCACTGGCTTGTTCTGTAAAGGAAACACAATTGCATGAAAATAGAACAGACGATACTAATGAACAAATATACTCATTGTCCGTAATACAATTGTGACCAGAGAGTTTCAGTAGCTAGGCCTTACTGGTCTAATGAAGAGCTCTGGGTTGACAGCTCGGAAAAGCGTGGTGGTCTTCGCTCCTCTCAGGCCAGGAATCCTGAAGACACCTTCTTTCGGAGCCTCCTTACCGCTTCCAGATGACATTGTGCAATTACATGAGGAGATGGATACGGTTTACATTGATTGTATCTAGAAGTGCAAAGCGTTTGAGCAAACGCTATTAATGATAGAAAACATTCCGAACGACCAATAGCTCATCCACAACACGTCCATTTGTTTTGAAAGTCATAGCTAACAGTCAACGAACTCTAAGAAAAAAGGTTGTCTGCATGTTAAACGTCTTTACAATAATACAGCGCCACCTTGTGGATGGAGTAGGCTACACTATGGCGTCAGTCAGACGCTTGGTTTGGCATTTTGCTTAGTATACAGTATACAAAACACCCATCATAAACGATTTTATATGAACGTTGTTTCACCGAATTCCGAAAAAAAGTGTAACAGCTTTTTAGCCTTGAACAGGGGGAAAAGTGAGCATATCCATTACTACCACTCAAGTCACAGGACACCTGAAATACCTATAAAAAATGCATGGCACAAGTTCTCATTCATGACCAGTATAGCTACAAAGAAGTCAAAATTTGGAAGGGACATTCAAATAATCATTCAACTTAGATACAATTTAATATTACTTTTATTCTTTCAGCAACGCAACATGAACTCATGGACTGATATTTCCTACCACGGGTGACAGGTTCAGTGTTTAATGTGACCATGGTGACGCTGTCTGTCCTAGAACAAACTGTAGGGTTGACGACAGATGAATGAATGCACGTAGTGACTCATGAACGGTAGCTACAGGCTTTAAGGCATATTGAAAATAAACATACTGTAGTGTTAAATACAGGATGCTTTTACTTTCCTTTCTTTTTTTAAACCTTTCAGAAACAGTCTTTCATCTTAAACCTACCCAACAATCTAATAAAAACAATTATAGGCCACAGGCTAATATAAAAATACACATAGCCTACAGGGTATATTTAACTATACTTAGGGTTGTTGTATAGTGCTGCTCTTCCGCAATAGACTATCCAAACAAGCCCTCTGGGTACAAAATAGGTGTGGCCTCTCAGACAGGTGTGTTTGACGTGCAGATCGACTGCACCAGCCAGCATCGGAAAATTGACCCCCGAAAGATACAACACAAACAGAAAAAACTGGAATAGCCTGTTTATAATCGGTGAGTTAATTCTTGTATTTTCTTTCAATATTGTATTTGTCTGAACATAATAG